TTTAAAGATGAGTCTGCAGCACCACAAGAAGCTGAAGCATAGTTCTGCATAAAATATGTAACTGTTACCTCTGTCAAGGGATGAGGTAATGTTTTCAGTCTGTCTGTCTGTCTGTCTGTCTGTCTGTCTGTCTGTCTGTGGACAAAATTACTCAACTTATGGACAGATTTTTATGAAATTTTTACCACAGGTGGGTATTGGCCAAAAGGAACACATCATTAAATTTTGGTGATCGGGATCACGATCCGGATGTAGGAATATTTTTATGATAGTGGAAATAATCCACTGTAGAATTGTAGACTCTGAAGACAGCCAATCAGCTTCAAGGAAGCTGACCGTAGACTTTTAGTATTTTTTTAATCGAAAAAATTACTGTTTTAACTGACTTTAATGTAACAAAAGATCAATTTGATAACACATCGGCAACAATATTGTATTTTGTGTTTAGGTTTTTGGATTTTTTTCCCCCCACCTGTATTGGAAAGGTAAGCTAGCTAACTCACCCAACCCCCTGTTCGGGTCTGTTATCCGATAGATAATAGACCCAAACAAAATTGCTCAACAACTTATGGACGGATTTTTMTGAAATTTTTACCACAGGTGGGTAGAGCTCATTTTGGCCAGATTATCTGTTAAGGTTTGTATTCTGAGCTCTGAATATATGCCGAACAAAGTCAAAGTTTTATCAAGTTTATTGTTAGTAATTTTGTCTGGAAGGTTGGGACCGCTGGACACAGAAGCTTTGGGTTAGGTTGAGTCGTGAGCACTGTATTATTTGTAAAAATAAAGAGAGTCACCAACCTTTCCTGCTGAGTTGAAGTCCGGGTTGAAACAACAGCTGATGTGCTTTGGTTCCGGGCTGTGTTGTCAAGAGGAGCGATAATATTGCTGGACTTACTCGAGGTCAGAAACGGGGCAAGGGTCATACACAGGTGGTCAGAGGAAGTTTCCAGGTTTGAAGGAGATGACTGAGTTGTTGGTCCAGAGATGCTTTCAGGTGTCGAGATCCAGAAGGTCCGATATGGTGCGGTTCCGTTCAGGGAGCAGGCGAGTGACAATAATCAAAGAGACAGAAAAAAGGTCGTTACCGTGAGAGCAGATGGCAGGTGGGATCCGACAGGTGCTGTGCAGGGGTGATAGCAATGAGCAGGAGCTGGATATGAGCTGAAAGGCTGGGAACAAGACTATGAGGATGAACTGGAACATGAAATAAGATAATAAAACGAAACTGGAACAAGATCTGGGCAGACAGTGACAGAATCATAACACAGGGGAAATTGGCCTTGGCGGAGGTTTGTGCTCTTCGAGTGCTTCTAGTGTTTTTAATTTTCACCCACCAAAGAAAGGTGGACAGTAACGTTTTTGCTTCTGTCTATGTGCATTTGATTATCTCATCAATGACTGCACACATTTTAATGAAAGTAATAATTGGATGAACACAAAAATTACCAAAATTCACCAAGTTTTACAGATACAGTAAGTTAAAATTTGTCATCCCCAACACATGCTGCAAATGCAAACAGATCACATGAAATCTCACAGTATCATGTCTAACTGAGCATAATGTTATTTCCAGGACTTCACTAATCCAAAAATATTGGTAATATGAGCAATTACAGTCATTTCTCAACACAAGTTGATCTCAGTATAAATCTCTGTTATTAAAGGTGGCAGGCGAAGTGCATTCTTTCAAGATATGCTATAGATTTAAACTGCAAAAACAAAGTGTCAGTTAAATAATGGCCTTTAGTTCAATTACATTATTAAGCATATTTGAGCCCAAGTTCCTGTGTCAGCAGATGTTTAAAACATTAAAATTTTATAAATGAGTGTAATTTTGGCTTAAAATTGGACAAGAAGTGACATTCTTTTTCTTAATTTAAAAGTTCTGATATATTCGATGTSCATTTTTTTGGTAATAATTATACTGATAAATTATGTCAACAATAGTAGTCAAGCCTATGAGTTCCTGAAAATCGGTCAAATTTAGAAGAAAAACAAAAACACAACATGGATGTTCACACACACGTGACCGCTGCTCTTTGGATCTGGAAAAGCTCACCTCTTGCACTTCTGTGTAAAAGACAAAAGGATTACTCTCCCATGGTGGAAGAAAAATAGACAAATATGAACACTTTAGGTCTTAGGGCCAAGTTCCTGCCATTACTACTCAAACACACAACGTGATTGGTTGTTTAAAGGTCATGCCTGTGAGTTAAATGTCTGCGTTTCATCAACAGTGACATTTATTGTTTAGTTTTCCTCTTCCTAATCATTATTTATGTACATTTAGAATCCCATAATTAAAACAAAACGACAGTTTGATTTTATTAACGTGACCTTTAAGGACAGGAAAGTTAGTGAACACATTTTCAAGGCTCTCTGCTTTTGACCTGTGGCCTTAATCAGGCTGTAACTGACTGTTGTCTGAGTGTAATGAGTTCAACCGTCAGCAAGCTTCAATAGAAACTGAGTGTGTCTGACCATAAAAGGCTCCAGCAGATTTTTGCAGTGGGTCAGAATGTTTGATCTCTACATGTCATCGTGTTCTGTCAGGTTGATGTAACCATGCTTTCATCATATTTTAACAATTAGGATGGAGAGAATATCTTCTATCTGGCTGTGGATGACATAGAGACGGACACTGAGCTCCTGATTGGCTACTTGGACAGTGATATGGAGGAAGAGGAGGAAGAAGAGGAAGAAATCAACATAGATGATGATGAAAATAGCAAAGAGGCCAAACATGTTGTAGAAATGGGTACAATGGAATATCCTTTAATCATTTTTAATTTGTTACAGGTAAATGATTTATGACACTGAGATTTGTGTGTCTGTAGAACTGGTAATAAAGAAGGAGGACCACCCCTGTCTGCTGTGTGAGAGCAGTTTTCCCAGTGAGGAGATCCTGGCTGCCCACCTTCAGAGCCTACACCAGAGACCCAGCACAGAGGAGAAGGAGTTCAAATGCAGGAACTGTGGCAAAAAGTTCCCCGTCAAGCAAGCTCTGCAGCGCCAGTGGGTTTAGTGTTCAACCATTTGTCAATTACTGAATGCATTAAATCAGCCCTGAGTACAACTCACAAAAGCCCTATTCGCATTATCTGGGGACCCCATATAATAAATAAGTTACTCCGCGACGTCTGTTTTATATGTGGCGCAGTCACACGGGATAACCAAAGCCTGAGATTTTGCTGAGCTTTATGGACGTCTTCCAGATATGATATTGAAGCCTGGTATAGTTGATGCATTGAATATGACGAGGGTGCATGCTCCAAAAGTGCTCCGCAAAGTCTGTGCACGCTGCGCAACATTCAAACAGTTTGTTCATCAAGTTTTTGCTCTCCTGTTTACAACATTTCACAATCCCCTAATTTACACTACATGCGTTACGGCTTTGCTCCGCTCCGGTCCRACCTCCGCAGCAAACACACACCCATTATAATCAATGAGAGTGTTTACACTGGCTGTGCACGGCAGCGGTGAGCGGACGGCGATCTGGCAAAATTAGAACAGATCCTATTTCTGCCGGATGCCGGAGCTGCGCCGGAGTCAATTTTTAAAGATTACGTCGCACCAACAGGATGAGGAACGAGCACAACATCCGTATTTTCAAAATAAGACACTATTAGGTGGAATAATTTGTCGGAATAAGGTCAAAATCCCAGCTATATTAATCAATATAAGGATATATTTCTACACAAATGCTGTCAGAATGTATCGGTCTGTTTGGGAAGCAGATGGAAACATGTAGCATGAAGCATGTGTGTGCACGCATGATACACGTAGATTTTATTTTGAAATCAGAAGTTTCAGAAAGACGACAGCGAGACAGTTTCAACATAGATATTAAAAGCCTTTATATCATTGTTTTCAGCTGTGTTTGGAGTTTGTCTTTCACAGAATTAATTATTTTTTCCTGAGACTTCCATACTTATCACTGAATTTATCGCGCAATCTCCTTYCTCCACACTCTCTGTCAGACCRGAGCGGAGCGGATGCTGTATAAATTGAGACACAAACTAACAGCTGCAACCTGCGCAGCGGAGCGAAGACGTGTGTAGTGTAAATCTGGGGTAAAGTGTTCTGCCCCGTATCCTTTCGGAGAAAACTACAACAATGTAAGCGCCAAGTATAAACACCTGGCAAGAGTGCGCCCACTCTGCGCAACCACAGCTCCGCGCTGTGTTACTGCCAGATGACTACAAAAAATATAAATATATATTCTTACTGGACAGTCAATGCATGATGTGAGCCACCGTTTGCATCTGATATTGCGCCTTCAGCCTGTTCTTCTTGATGCTGCAAATTAGGGCTGCACAATATATCGAAAATTTATCGTCATCGCGATAATAGCCTGTGCAATATGCATATCGCAACAACTGCATAAACTGCAATAAATGGTTGACTCAAAAGTTTGCATTTATGCGTTTTGTCATTCAGATGGAAACTTGAAATATTTCACCAATCAAATGGAGCCCTTCATGTATTTGGTCATTAAAAAAATAATTCAGGCAAGAATGGAAATGATTAGCTTTTTTTAGGTTGTTTTTTGGGCTTTGAACCCAGAGCAGAAAGATATCAGCACTACATACATACGTATTGGATCATTTATCGCAAGTCATATCGTCATCGCAATATTAAGCACTGTTATCACACATCGCAGGTTTTCCTAATATCGTGCAGCCCTACTGCAAATTACGGGTYGGGTTTTGTCGGCCCGGGACCCAAAAGGTTTTCAATGAGCTCCAATCCAGCAATCCTTCTTCAACAAAAGCAAATAAAAAATTATGCCCAGGATATAAAAACTGCCTAATTATATATTGGATTCCACCCATTCCTGTCCAAATCACAGAGATGCCTATTCACATTGGATTAGTATCACAGAACCTTGGAATTCAGCAACATATAGAAGGTAATTTGCTGGAAAAATTTTTACTTTACAAATTTCTGACTTGGTCGATTCGCATGGGATTAACAACACAGACAATCTCTGCAATTATTACAAATAGCATGGGATCCCTAGGTAAAACTAATCCTGTCAGAAAAGGGCTTAAGTTAGCTAAACACAGCCATACTGAGTTAAAACTGTATTTGGTAAATCACTTTATTTCCTTTCCTGCTATGAATTCTTGATTCAACAAGTCTGGCATCAACTTATGATGGACCATTATTGTGATACTAATGTAAAAACAATTCTTATAAAAACACAATTTTTTTTTACAGTTTTCACCACATAGCTGGGGTATAATGTCATGCCTAAGTCATGGTTTGTTACAACAAAATAAAGAAAACAAGACCCAAATGCTATCTGTTTGTTTTTGTAAACAAACAACTCCTATCTCAGAACTAGAGGCGTCAAAACAAACCATGCGTGGTAAAAGGAAGACTCTAATGGTAGGATTTGTGAAATCACAGTAACAGGGATTATCAATCCTGGTCCTTGAGGGCTGCTGCTTTACTTTTATATTTTACTTCTATTTTACTTTCTCTGCTCCAGAACACCAGAGTCAGTGACTGAAACACCTCTTTAAGTTCTGCAGAAGCCTGTTAGTCACTCATTCAAATCAGTTGTGTTCTTTGTGTGTGCAGTCAGAGAGTTCAACCTACAAATGAGAACACTTCTTGCATTTGTATTGCTTGAAGTGTTTTCATATTAAATTCTAAGCTAAGCTAAAATTATTAAATATGCCTTTGTTTTTGCTATATCTAAGATGGTGTTTGATTAGTTTTGTTTTGATTCTCTCCTCAGTGTTTTGCATTGTTCTGAGTCACTCGATCCATCGGGTGACTCTAAAGCTCACCAGTGTTCCCTTTGCCACAATACCTTCAGCTCAGAGTCCAGGTGACATACACTGWACAGGCCAATTGACTATTCTGTATTTATTCCATAAAATTAATTTCCTCATCTTCTTTTAATCTGTCATTCATTTGCACAGTTTTGAACAGCATAAAGAGGCGTGTAAAGGAGATGCCAGGTTCATATGTAAAGCAGAGAGCTGCGGAAAAAGATTTAAAAGCAAAGATGCTCTGAAGAAACATAAAGGCAACGTTCACACAGGTGGGAATCTCTTTACTTCACTCTGCATCTTTCTCTTTATTTGTCGACTGCCTCTCATTGTTTTACACACATTCACTGGTTTATTACCTTTAAAACACCTTGTATTGAATAAGTCTGCCCATTTGCAACATCAGCCCTCAAAGAAACAGAGAAACGGTGCATGACCTTGGTTAGGTCAAACATAGGCAATCTTCAGACACATCTCTAATTACTTGAGCTTCATAATTGCTGACCTATGTTTTCTGGGGCGGCTCACTGTCAAGATAATTGGAATTTCAAAGCTATTTATGATGTGATTTAGGGCAGAGCGTCTGCACAGCCTCAAATGTGAAATAAGTTTCAAGTGTTACTATGATTGAGAGGATAGCAGAGCAGGAWTCTGAGACCTTATTTRTTGGTTTATTTATTTATTGAATTGTGGTCAGGACTGAGGATGTTTGTGTTTGAGTGTGTGTCGGGTGTAGCGAAGGAGAAAGTGAATCAGACACAACAGATGTTGATCATTTTAGTGGGTGATACAGTAAATGAATGATGTCACTGCTCTAAAAATGGTGTAATCACTAGATTTATGACTGTAATTATTGGTGCGAACACAAAAACACCAAAATACCATTATTACTTTTCAACACAATTTTAATTTGTGACTTCTAGTTGCTTCGGAAAAAAAAAGCACACAAATGCATCAAAATAATCAGCTCAGTGTTTTGACTTTTGGGAGCAGTCCATGATTCGATGGAGGCAACATTTGCAAACAGTTGTGAAATATTTCCACATATAATGCAGTGAGATCTTTGGGAAAACGAATGAGAAAACCCAGCCCAATGAGAATGCGTAACTTGAATTTGTTTTTATTTCTTAGGGAGTGCACGAAGGAAACTTATGTGCACCATCTGTAACAGGAAGTGCTCCTCCTCCCTGAACCTTCAGGAACACAGAAAGGTAAGGCTTGTTCATCATCCTCGGCGCCGCTCGGTTAATCCCAACCACGTATTTTGCATCGGATCTGGGAGGATTTCCACAGCTTGGCCAGTTTTGCATGATCCATTTTTACAATGTTGAGGCTTTGGCGCTGCTTCCTGTACCTGTCACGTTGCTGTTTCACATTCTCCTTTGCTTCACRTGCTTCTGTGTCCAGTTATTCCCCCTTTATGATCAAATTGTTGCAAATGTATTCTGGGTGACACAGAGGACTGGGATGGTTTCTTTTTCACGAGCTCATTCTTGGGAAATTTAAGAGGCTCTATTGGCAGACTGAACGATTTCAACCTTGGCGTCAGAGTTCTCCATCTCATTGATGGATTACAGATTTGAACACAGCTGTTTAAATATGTTTCCCATGAAAATCATTTAATGTAAATAGATATTTGTACTGTAACTGTTAATATCATCCTATTTTAGTTAATACTTTTGCTGTTTTGTTCGCTTATGTTTGCACAAGTTTTCTTCAGGCATTCGTCTCCTGTACACAGATGTAATTAGACTGTAATTACTTGCTGTTAAATTAATGGCATTATTGATGCTGACTTCTGTCATGATGATAACTAAGTCAACAGAAAACTGGCGTGTACATAGCAGAGATAATTCAAGGCCACATTAATATTTAACACAGTTTGCTGCAGCTCCTCTTCCCATCTGCTGAAGCTCCAAAGCTGCAGGCCTCAGCTGGCAGTGTTATGTTTAGAGGTCAGAGTTCACCTTTTTAACAACATCTTGGACCAACTTGTCAGACATCAGTCTCGATGAAACAACAGATAATATGCAGAGAGAATATCTATATCTAAAATGGTGTTCGGTTATTCTAATGCAGTATTAGAGTCGTGGAATTTTGCTAATGTGCATTAAAGCTGTTGTGACACATGGTGGCCGCAATACCTCACTAATACACATTAAGCTGCTTTTAACTAATCTTTTTTATGTGCGCAGATGGAAATGTATTAATTAAATGTGGGAACTGCTGTCCATTTTACTGTTCAAAACCCAACACCAAATCAAAGGTGCTGATGTTGGTTAGCTCTTCATCTGGGTCAGAACAGCACTGTTGTGTTGGGTGATCAATCAAGCGGTCTCATTACATTTATCATACTTGCTGTCTCTAATTAACCTTCATTACAGCTGATTAATTTTGAAAGTAATTTACTACTCCTAAAATCTATAATCCAGATTAATCTGCAGACATGAATACAACCCTGTCAACGTCTTCATCTTCAAACCACAAACTGTGTAACATGCAAAGTCACCTAGAAGTTGTGACAGACAGTGAACAAGATAATCTTCTTCAGCTGTTTCATTTCTCTTAAAACTGGTGGATAGACTATTCCTTCATGAGCTACACATACAGTATTTTATGGGCTGGTTTCACTACTTCACAGTGTTTTTGTCACTTTGTAGTGTTGACATACATGAAGAGAGGCATTCGTTTTTAGGATTACACCAACTGCATTCATCCCAGTCTTATCAATTAAAAACTCTTAAACACTTTGGGCAAATTCTTTCTTAGTATTCTATTTTATTCTTAGTATTTTACTTTATATAAAAAAAGGATTGACATCTGATAGATTCGTTTGTACTATAAGAATATGTTTTAATGTGGTGAGGACAGTCAATCAAATTAAGACAGCCTCCTTCAGTGGGATGTTAACATGCGTTATACTCCATCCATCAATCCATCCATCCATCCATCCATCCATCCATCCATCCATCCATCCATCCATCCATCAATCCATCCATCCATCCATCCATCCATCCATCCATCCATCCATCCATCCATCCATCCATCCATCCATCCATCCATCCATCCATCCATCCATCCATCCATC